CATACCGCCAGACAGCGTTAATAATGATAAACATAATAATAATCATGACGATGATAATAATCATAAGGAGAGGAGTATTTCAAGGGGAATCCCTTAGCCCTCTCTTATTCTGCATCTCATTTCTGCCACTATCCGTTGATCCCAGTTACCGGAGGCATAAGGTCACCCACATATTCTATGTGGATGACCCCAAACTGTATGCCTCTGGTGAGAGGGATATGTACCAATCCCTCAGGGTGGTGCAGGAGTACACGCAGGCAATTCGGGATGGACAAATGTGCACCGGTTCATCTCAAGAGAGGACGATGCGAGAACTACGACAAGAACGCGCAGCTCGTGAACGGAAGCATCCTACACCACCTGGATGCCGGAGAGACGTACACCTACCTGGGTGTAGAGGAAACTCATATATCCAGGAGGCACAACGGGTGAAAGGCGCTCTCCGCAGCAAGTATCGGCAGCGGCTCCGACAGATCTGGTCGTCAGAACTGTCGCGCAAGAACAAAGTCGCTGCTACTAATATGCTTGCTGTTCCGATCCTACTTTACTCATTTGGAGTGATGAAGTGGACTCAAGTCGAGCTGCGACAACTTACGTAAGTACTCGCAAGATGATGCATCTCCATAGGAGTCTGCATCCAAATTCGCCCGTTCCACGGTTATACATACCTAAAGACCAGGGTGGCCGTGGACTCTTGAGCTTGGAGTATCTCCATAACAGAATAGTTCTGGATGGCGCCTGCAAAGTCATCAGGAGTTTGGATACCCTCCTGCAAATGGTTGAAACCCATGAAGAGGCAGGAGTAGGAGCTTTTCTCTTTAGAGCAGCACGTCGAGCAGCCGATGAATTATCTCTGATTTTCGACTCCGAGCGCGCGAGGCTCAGGGCTCAGTTACTGAGCTAGAGCCCGCTCTGAAAAAGGCCCGCATCAAAGCTGAAGAAGTAAGAAAGCTCCTGCAGCTTCAAATGTATAAGCCCATGAATTCGGTCTACTTCAAGACCATCGAAGACCGGGGCTCATCCAAAGAACTGCTGTCTTCTTGAACGATGTATGCAGTCTTGGCCTATAACCATAGACACAATGCGGCATTGCGAGTGCTCTACTACTATTTGAGGCACTCGTACGGAATAGACGAGACCCCAGTGCTGTTCTATGCTCCTAGGGATATTGGGAAGTCACCAGTTAAAAACTTCGAATTTCACATCGATAATTCTTTTATTTTACTATAATGTGGTATTTTCTCAATATTGAATCGTCGTTTTTTTCTTCACAGGAAAACATATTGTATTATGCACGAGAAAATATTGAATTTTAGATTTTGGTTTTTTGTATCTCTCCAGTACACGTCAGGAAACAACATAACCTTGAGATAAAATCGAATACTCTTTTCCTTGTATGAAAAATAAATATTTCAACCATACAGCATTTCCTTTATTAACTTAATGATTATGCTTAGACGATAATAAACAACATTCAAATTTCATACTGCTTGATGAATTAAGTATGGACTACTTCAGATGAATAATCAATATGTTCAGCAACATTCCGACATACTTTCAACGAATTACGAAATAGCCACAAATACTTTCAACGGTTTATTTTTCAATCACCTTCTGACATATTTCTGAGGTATGTTGGCCCACTGGGCCAATATAACTCTAGCTACGACACTGTCCACAAACCAAATACATCACTTGTGTGGCTGATATGTCACCGAAACATAATATGATTATCTTGAAAATATTATAAATTTCTTTTTTCTGTGACGGGACAAAAGATTGAACTTTTATCTCTGTTGACAGGATATAAAATGTATCTTTTCAAAAATTCCTTTTTTCCCACGGTAAAAAAAGGATTACTTTCTTCCTGGATATATGAATATATCACATATATCACTGTTGATGGCAATTGTTGTGCTATAGTTCCAAAATATGAGCCAATATCAACGTCTCCGAGAAAGAACTGCAAGTTCTTTTATCTTCCATTCGACTTCGCGGTTACGTGAAATATTGAACAACCACTAAATTCCCAATTTCTGAAAATCAAATCACAAAATTACCCTGACAGATATTTGATTACTTCAAAAGAATGATAAAGATACCTGCAGCGCAAGTGTCATTCCTCTTAAAAACTTCAAATTTCACTTCGATAATGTTTTGATATCGATGAAATGTAATATCTTTTGAATATAGATTATTCCTTTTTCTTGTCACCGAATAAAATAGTATATTCTACACGGGAAAAATATTAGATTTCAGCTCACGGTTGTTTGTCTTCTGGCGCTACAACCTGGAACTAAAATCTACTACTTTTTTCCCTTGTATAATAAATTACTTTTTTATATATCACACTTTTTTATATATCACATATTTATACACTACTGATGGCATTCGTTGTGCTATATTTCCAAAAAATAAGCCAATGAAACCGTCTCTGAGAACGTAAATTACTAAACAACAACTAAATTCGCAATTTTTGAAAATAAAATCACAGAATTAGCCAGACAAATATCTCCACTGCACACTATTCTACCACTAACAAACCAATTTTTTTTTATCCCGACACGTGTCTCGCTAGCTATGTTAGCATCTTCAGGAAAAGACTAAAACTCAGTATCGATCTTTTCCTGAATATGCTAACATAGTTACCTAAACACGTGCCGAGGTATAAAAAATCGGTTTGGTTAGTGGTGAAACAGTGTGTAGTGTATTATCATGCCAAAGGATCCAGTCTTCGATATATGACAGATATCTGATGACTTCAAAAGAATGATAAGGTTGTATGCCAGCAGGTGTCATTCTTTTTAAAAACTTCAAATTTCACGTTGATAATTTTTTGATTTCGATATAATGTAATATCTTCTGAATATTGATTCGTTCTTTTTCCTGTCACAGAAAAAAATAGTATATTATTCAAGGGAAAATATATTAGATTTTAGCTCAAGGTTTCTTTGTCTTCCTCCGCTACAACCTCTGGAGCTTGAATCTACTACTTTTTCCCTTTTATAATAACTAACTATTTTTATCATATGATATTTCGTTCATTTACTTAATGATATTATGGTTAGACAGTAATGAACAACATTCAACTGCTTGATAATCGATATATTCAGCAACATACTTTCAACGTAATCTTATGTGGAAGTCCATAATTTTTTCCAAATGAAGTGTAGTGATGAAAGGGTTAAGAAACACAAAATCATCTCCACACGTTCAATAATCGAAGGATTATTCAGAGGAACGTGTTTCGGACAGTCATGTGTCCATCATCAGCCTCAATCCCTACAATCCAAAAGTCGTGGGAATGAAAAAAACATTGAAAACTTTGGATAAAATCCATTTGAGGGCCAGGACTTGTCCTCCATCATCTGATGTAGGTTGGATTTGGAGTAATTATTTGATTCCACCATTTTTCCAAAAGTGGGTTTTGCCGTCAAATCTTGATCATGTACGTACCTACATCATAGGGGCACAGGACCCCTCCACAATTAACGTGACCCTTAACCGGTGCTTTGCACAATAACTTTAATGAAGTTTTTACAACATAAATATGGACTTGGCAACAATTCTCGAGTGGGGATCCAATCACTTCGTAGATTTCAATGCGAACAAAACACAAGCATGCCTTTCCTCTAGAAAAGCCGATCTCATCTGTGCCAAACATAAGCGTGTCAGGAGTAACCATACCTTTGAATACATCCATTTCGATGCTTGGTATTACTCATCAGTAATAACTTTTCTTGAGAAAATAACGTGAGATCAATTGTTAAAAGTGCATCCCAAAAACTAGGTTTTCTGTTTCGGGATAGGAGCTATTTTACTTCCAGTCAGTTGCTTATGATCTATAAGGCACAGATCCGACCTGTCCTGGAATACTGTTCCCATATTTGGAGTGCGGCACCCAAACAAATCCTGAAACTGTTGGATTCTGTCCAAAAAAGGGCAATTCGTCTCGTGGGTGATGCCTCACTCACAAACTCCTTCACTTTTCTGGAACACCGTAGAAAAGTTGGCGATCTAGCTCAATTTTATAGATATTGTCTTGGACGATGCTCTTCTGAAATATCAACAATAGTTTATTCCATGGCAATCCCCGCGAGATTAACCCGTCTAGTTGAGGCTTCGCACCCCTTCGTGGTCACTTTGGAGACCTGCAGAACATTCTTTTCCAAAGACTCGTTCATCCAACGAACAGCAAGGCTCTGTAACACATTGCCAAGGGAGGAGTTTTACGAGGCATTTTACCTCCCTTTTCGTGGGAACCAGAACATGAGAAAACGAAATGTTTTTTTCATTCCCTTGACCTTTGGTTTGTAGGGATTGAGGCTGATGATGGACATATGACTGTCCGAAACATGTTCCCCAAAATTATCTTTCGATTATTAAACGTTGTGAAGATGATTTTGTGTTTTCAAACCTTTTCATACTTCCAACGGTTCATTACCCTAACAACACAGGGATGTCCTAGGTACGTCTCTTTTTTGTCCCGCGGTACAAGGACATGATTGGGACATCCAGGGGATGTTCCGCAGTAGTGGTCCAGTGAACATCCCACCCGGTACATCCCTAGGTTATTCCATTCGTGTCCCTGGAAAATCTGATTTTCATTCACATCAGATTTCAAAATATTGAGTCTAATTTTTTCGAAAATGTATTTCTTCCGGAAAATAATTGTAATGAAAATGAAGAATATAGTCTCAAAACTTCTCAAGAAATTGCCATTATTCGCAAACAGAAATCGTAAATGTACAAAGTCCCTCATTTCTAAACACCCAAGAATGATAATAATTATACCCGAATCCTAACGAAGTTTTATTCATTCAGGTTTCTGTAGTTTAGTCCTGTTTATAAATCTGTTCAATACATGAATCTTCAGAAGGCATAGATAGATATCCCTGAGATGATCAGGGACGTTACTGGGAAGTCTCTAGGATGTACTCGTGTTGTTAGGGTATTCGATCATCTTTCAACGTATGTTGTAACTCCAGTTACGCCACTATTTACAAATCCAAATACATCACTTGTGTGGCAGATATGGCACCGAAAAACGCCAGGGTACTGGCCACGCTGACGACTGCCGTGGTAGTACCAGTCACGCTCACGATAGTACCCATGCACAGGGACAGGATGAACTGGGCCAGAAACACCATGCTGGAGACTATAGCGACGTCAGTGCCTAGCCCTCGAAGTTGCGTGGATAGTTTTTCTTCCCCCTCACTGGTAGTCTCGAACTGAAATGGCAATTTGTTGTAAATTCAATTGTGAATTGAATTCGCGAAAATCACGAACCAATAGATGGCACTATTATACAGGGTGTCCGCTAAAAGGAGGTCAATCCATTAACCACATATTCCTTGAACAAAAACAATATGAGTTTCTAAATATCATTTTTCATTTTAGCCCTTCATATTCGGTATACAGGGAGTCAAAGTTGGAAATTAAAAACTGTTTTTTTCTAATTACTCGCGTATTTGATAAGATATTAATCTCAAAATTGGTACATTACTTCAGCACAAAGAGTTACATCGTGTGAGGAAAACAAAACAGAAAATAACTGTCAAATATTCAAGATACTGGGGGTCAAGTTCACACTTACCCCCATATTTTGTTTGTACGTGCGCTAATGACTTCCTATCTATCTTCCTTCAAGTGTTCAATCATTTTTGAGTATTTTTTGTTTTCTGTAAAATTTCGATTGAATCATTTGTTTTTAAGATAATTCGAAAAGTACTGGTTATTGTTTGATGCCTATGCGGCTTAGGTATTCTCATAATGTTCACATACTCCTATTTATTTCGTCGAAATTGAAAGAGGGCGTATCTTTTCACGTACGAAAAGGTAAATATGGAAATACCGGGTGCTCGGAGCAAATGTACTAAAATAATTTTTACAAAAAAAAAAAAATTTAAAAAGTGTAAAAATTATTTTAATACATTCGCTCTGAGCACCCGGTATTTCCATATTCACCTTTCCGTACGTAATAAGATACGCCCTCTTCCAATTTCGACGAAATAAATAGGAGTATGTGAATATTATGAGATTACCGTAAGCCGCAAGGCATCAAACAATAACCAGTACTTTTCGAATTATCTTAAAAACAAGTAATTTTTTTGTGAATTTTACAAAACTCAAAAAATACTCAAAAATGATTGAACACATGAAGAAAAATAGATAGGAAGTCATTAGCGCACGTACAAAAAAAATATGGGGGTAAGTGTGTACTTGACCCCCAGTATTTTGAATATTTGACAGTTATTTTCTGTTTTGTTTTCCTCACACGATGTAACTCTTTGTGCTGAAGTAATGTACCTATTTTGAGATTAATATCTTATTAATTACGCGAGTAATTAGAAAAAAACAGTTTTTAATTTTCAACTTTGACACCCTGTATATCGAATAAGAAGGGCTAAAATGAAAAACGGTATTTAGAAACTCATATTATTTTTGTTCAAGGAATATATGGTTAATGGATTGAACTCCTTTTAGCGGACACCCTGTATGTCAAATCAACGCCAAATTTCCAACTGAGTATGAACAACAAAAACATTGCCGTATGCATTCATTGCAAATTGGTTATTTCCAAATCATTTTGCAAAATAGTGAATAATAAGTTGACTTCTAGAAATACGTACAAGGTTTCCAGTATGGAAAAAATCACTGTTTGTGTAGAGAAATTGCCATTTTGATGTGGACAATGGTGGTTTTCATCATTGATATCACACTACAATCCCACAGCTTTCAAACATATGGAATGATCGGAATGGTCCACTCAACACTTGCATGGACTGGAATGGAACCATACAAGCAATCAGCTATTACAACAATATGGTATAGGTATGAAGAAATAATTGAATTCATCAAGAAAAATCACTGGCTTTTATGAAGGAGATGGAATTCTAGTGAAGGGGTTGGGAAAGAAGATATGGTTGGAGAGGCTGCTCAGAATGAACAATATCATCGATTTACATAAACAAGGATCTCCAGCAATTGAGGACTTGAAGTTATTCTCAAGATCGAATCATTGCAACCAACATTTATACAATGATTTTAATTGTGCTTCAGAAAATGTATATTATATTATTATAAGGTAGGTACTGGTTTCTTCATTGTAAACAATAAAAGTTCATGCAATAATTCGAGTTTTTTCATCAGGGAGAAATGAGGTTCTGGAATATGCACATCAACAAATAAATTATTTTCAAATGAAACACATATTTATGAAATTCAAAACAATGGTCGCCATATTTGTTGTTCATACTCTCAAGACTTGTACAGTTAGCCACCAGAGGCTTCACACTTCGTGATTGTACGGAACCGTTAAAGGACCATGCGATAATCAATGTTTCAAAAACTAACTAACACTACAATGCGTCTGAACTGTCATCCCATGAAAAACCTTATTTCTCGCGAACATTCGCCTAATAAAGTAAGTATGACCATTTTAGCCTCGAATTCAGACAATCCGGTTGGTTGAACTCAGATGAGAGATCTAGCTCCATATTACGACGCGTCTGAACTGCCATCCTAAAAAAATTTTTTTTTTTTACGAACATTTGCGTAATTTACAGTTGCAACTGTAAGGCACAGATCCGACCTGTCCTGGAATACTGTTCCCATATTTGGAGTGCAGCACCCAAACGTACCCTGAAACTGTTGGATTCTGCCAAAAAAGGCAATTCAACTCGTGGGATATGCCTCGATTACAAACTCACTCACTTCTATTTAACACCGTAGGAAAGTTGGTGATCTGGCTCTATTTTATAGATATTTTCATGGGCGATGCTCTTCTGAAATATCAACAATAATTGTTCCTCCCTTGGCAGTCCCCGCGAGATCAACCCGTCGAGTTAAGGCTTCGCACCCCTTCGTGGTCACTTTGGAGACCTCCAGAACATCTCTTTCCAAAGACTCGTTCATCCAACGAGCAGCGAAACTCTGGAACACATTGCCAAGGGAGGTGTTTCCCGAGGCATAAAACCTCCAGAAATTCGAGAGGAACATCAATTCCTACCTTATTTTCCATGGTTCTCACGATGTTCTCTGAACATTACAGGATATCCTTTTTCGTGGGAACCAGAACATAAAAAAAAAATTAGCACTAATTTACAGTGGCATCTGTAGGCAGAAGAAACTATTTTTCAAATATCGCCTAATTTACAATTGCAACTGTAAATTAGAACAAGAGAACTCTCTTTACACATCTCCTAATTCAAAGTTGCAACTGTAAATTAGGCGATATTTAAAAAAAAGTTGCTTCTGCCTAATAAATAATTTCAACTATCATTTTATAACCTCATTATAAAAAATTCATATGATCATAAAAGCTTGTCGCGCGATTTAGTTGGGTGAATAAACTAGTACTAATTCAATTTGTGAAATCTGATGCTGTGTTCAAATTTCAAAAATTTCAATTCAAGTTAATATTGATCAAGAAAAAAGACTCGAAGTCGTAGTCCTTGATCATTCCACTCCACTTTGAGTATGGACTACTACAGAAAATATTGATCATTCGCGACAAGCTGTTATGCCCCGCGAAATACCATCTAAGGAAAATATTGAAATATTGAAAATGGAATTCATACCCGATAAGTAAACATCGTTTGTCGGCAAATTTAGGATACTTAATATTTATTTTAATGACTCTAGATCAACCTTGAAATTGGTATCTCCAAGAATGCGCTAATTATTGAGACCGACAAACGAATATGATGTGATTTATTGTTATTGCCATATGAATCTATGAAATCCCTTCCTGTTTTTGACTATAAAAACACTTCATTGTAAAAAATGGAAATTCAATTGATCATTAACTCTCGAGACGTCAACTAGTAAAGATGTAGCTCCAATAGAATCAGAATAGATCGCGAAGTGCATAGAAGTACCTATCTATAGTGGTTATTAGAATCAGTGCAAGTGAGAAAGAGATTATGGCAATTCTTTCAACTCCCAAGCAAGTTGGTATGTCTTTGTGGTTACATTTAACAGACTATAGGACTGAAAGTGCTTTTGACATTTAACATAACTTTCTAACGATAATAAAATGGACATTTTAAGGAAACTAGTCAGTCAACCTATTAGTGTCAAAGATTAGGATGTTGTTTAATGAATTAGACGTATAAGGGTTTTGCAAACTAACTTGATGAGAGGTATCGAAATAAGGGATGATTAGAGAAGTCTTAGATATTAGTATATGGGCTTAGAGTAGAAGTAGGGTTGAGTTTTGATATAGATAGTTTAACTGAGTGTATTCTTTCAAGAAGTTTATAAAGGGGAGTTTATTTGTTGTTTTAAAGAATATTAACGTTGAGATGAGAGTTTTCATTGTAGGAAAACCTAGGATGAATAAATACTGGTTCATGTTTATTGATTGTATATTGAATATTTTTGATTTTATGAATTTATAGAGTGATTATTTGAGTTTCTAGACATTTTCTTAACTTTGAGATATAAGTGAATAGACATCTGAAGTTTGGGTTTTCTGAATATTTGAATTTGTTAGGATTCTGATAGTGAATGTAGTTTATTTCTTTGATTATAGTATATTAACTACCTATTTGTTTTTCTCCTGCATTCTGCCACCATCATAGTCCGAACCCACACAATTTAATATCTGCTGTAGATTCTACACCCTGTATAAACATACCAGCCGCTCGGTATATAATCTGACAACATCTCCCTTATACAGGGGTGGATCAACACAAAGCTTCTTTGATCATATAAATTATGTATAATGGGGTTATAAGTTAATATCTAAAATTATAATAAAACATTTCATTTTATTCTTTCTAGAGCGTTCAAATAAAAGCTTTTTTTGAATTTTTTTTACTTTCAATTTATTTTTCAATTTTCAGCTATCGCTGGCTACGTTTCTCCGTCTGTTAATTTCATCGTCAACGCATCATTGTTGCAAGGTCGTTTGCCGGTAAATTTCGAACAGTCCAGTTCTTCAATAAGAATAATGATTTTACCCTACTTGAAACCACGTATGCTTGACCAGCAGCGAAGAGCTTCGAGCCTAAGTAAATAAAGGTGACGATTCAACAGTACTACATTGCATTTTGTGTACTGTACAAGCATAACATAATACAATTGGCAGCATTCTTCGTTCGTTCTGCGGTTCCGTGACTCTATTTTGCTGGAAATTGCACAGACTCTATTTTGCTGGAAATTGCACAGACTCAGTGTGCCATATTGGATTTAGAGTGATGTTACATTATTTCTAATTATTCTTGGCAAGCCCTTCTATTTGATACCCATATTGCAGAAGTGCATGAATCACAACTATTCCGCCATCTTGGAAGTTCCGACATATTGGATTGAGAGTAACGTTACATTATTTTCCGAGTTGCTCGGAAATTGAAAGAAAAAAAAATCAAATAAAAGCTTTTATTTAAACTCTGTAGAAAGAATAAAATGCAATGTTTCATTATAATTTCAACTATTAACTTATAACCCCATTATACACAATTAATATGATCATAAAAGCTTGTCGCGAATGATCAATATTTTCTGTAGTAGTCCATACTCAAAGTGGAGTGGAATGATCAAGAAGGACGACTTCGAGTTTTCTTTCTTGATCAATATTAACTTGAATTGAAATTTCTGGAATTTGAACCCAGCAGATTTCACAAATTAAATTAGTATTATAGTTTATTCACACAAGTAAATCGCGCGACAAGCTTTTATGATCATATAAATTTTGTATAATGAGGTTATAAGATGATAGTTGAAATAAATAAAAATTTTATTTCATTCTTTTTAGAGCGTTTAAATAGAAGCTTTTCATTGAAAATTGTTTTTTACTTTCAATTTATTTATACACTAAAGCTGATATTGCTAGGAGCCTAGAGGAAGGGCATCTTCTGTTCTACCCGAACTCCGAAGATTCGGACATTCTTGCAACTTCATGAATCTCCGATCAAAGAAACTTAAATTTCCCCTCGTTTATATTTACGACAGAAAAACGAAACTAGAACGGTCGAGCCCGCTTCCTTACGAGTTTCAAATAGCCACCTATATTTTCGGAAACAGGACAGTAAGGTAATCAGGTCAATGTTCTTGGTTCCTTGAAGTCAATGTCACGCCTGTGTTTATGTTCGAACTACAATGAAAAGAGGTCAATTCATGATTCAGTCATTTTCGCAATTAATAAACGAAAACATGATCATTCAATCTCCCATTTGCGACAATAATTTCTTTCTCATGGCATAAAGCAGTCTCACCAAAACTCAAGCCTGTATTTTCTCTAGAAAGGCGGAACTCAGTATGCCCGATATTGTAATGTATGGCACCACCATCCCCACCAAGCCCACCATATCTATGCTCGGTATTTCCATAAGCAACACTAGTCCATGGAATAATCATGTCAGATCCATCGCAAAAGCTGCTTCACATGATCTGCAAAGCGCAGATACGGCATGTTCTAGAATACTGTTCCCACATATGGGGTTCGGCACCAAAACATACGCTGATGTTCTTAGATTCCATCCAGAAAAGAGCCTTCCGCCTGGTGGGTGACGCCACACTTACTCACTCTTCGACATCATTGGAACGCCATAGAAAGGTCGGCGACCTTCCACTTTCCTATTGATAATTCCACAAGAAATGTTCTTCGGAATCGGAAATCTCTGCTATCACCCTTCACTAACAATACCAGTCAGACGAACTAGACAAGCCCAGTCAGCACATCCTTCCGTTGTCAACCTCGAAAGATGTCGAACAGCACTTTGTCAAAACTCCTTCATCCAAAGAACGCCTAGGCTCGGGAATTCATTGCCTGAGGAAGTATTCCCAAAACATATAATCTCCAGAGGTTCAAATAAAATTCCAATACCTACCTCCTGTCCCTATCCTCAATAGGAACGCAAGATGTTCTTTGCACATTATAGGGATTTCCTTTCGTGCGCTCCAAGCGATAAAAAAAAGTCTAGATACTGGTTCATGTCAGTGGTTTTTATCCACGCTGAAGAAAAGACGGCTGGTCGAGTTGCTGATAGATTCATCACATGGCCCTTCACAGCGCTTTCGTAACCACATAAAATGAAATGAAAAAATAGGGACTCCATTAATTGGCGGATATGAGTCGAATTTTTGGATCTCCTTTGATAAGGCGGATAATTTTCCGATGTTACAATATTTCGGATATTTATCTGATATTTTGATGATTCTTCTGGAAATTTCGGATCTCTTCGGATATCTTTATAATATTTGGACATCTTTCGCATATTGATTATTGATTTGAATTTCATCAGAATCTTATTGCCATAGAAGAAAAAAAAAAACAAATGAAAAATAACATGTTGCTCCACTTCACGGCAATGATTCGAAAACTTCTGGGCGGTTTGTTTTGATAAAAGCACAACCAAAAACCAAAATGTAACAGACCTCGTTGATAGCTTCGAAACACCCCGCCAGGTGGCATAAGGTAGGAAACATATTGCCTTTGCTAACCCTGTTGCTCAAACGAGAGCCTAAAGTTTTCGAACCATTCCCAAACCTCATTGTCAGATTGGTCACAGTGGATCACGTGATATGGACGCATAAGCATTCGACCAGGAGGGTCTGGAAAGGAGGAAAATACGTCTTTGAAAGCCTAAATCACTACACAAAAAATGATAATAGAAGAAAACTACCTGACCGAACTCGAGGTGGATTTATGCACACCGCTATTTCATCAATCTGTTGCTTTCATTAACTGTCATTGAAGTTTATTTTTATTTAAGGGCTATGATACCTTTATGTACCACTTTTTTTTTCAGTTCTAAACTCTTCTTCTTGATCAATAGGAATTGATAACCAAGTCCTTCTGGATAATTTCGGAATGATCTCTCTAGAAAGACGTCGAATAATTTTGAGTCTGACATTTCTTCACAAATTAATGCATAACCAAATCGGTTGCTCTGTACTTCTTAATCAAATAGACTTTCTCATTCCAAGATTGAACAGTAGACAATCAAACATGTTCTACAATGTTACTACTAGAAGAAGAATTATGCTGAAATCTCCAATTTATATTATGTGTGATAACTTCAACAAAATTTCTCATATAGGTGATATTAATCATGACTCACTGAGAGACGTAATTAATAAAGTGTCAGATTATATACACTAGTAATAGTTGTACATATTGTTCTGTTCTGTTATGATTAATATCCTGATGCATTTCTTAGATATAATTCAATTCATCTAATCCTCGTCTTTGTCTGATGTTATTCATGTTATTATTGTTATTCTATCAAAAGAGTAATTAATAATCGGAATACTGTCTGTAGGTTAATCGAGGAGGCGGTACATTCATTTTACTTGATTCTTTGGGATTTTCTCTCCTCGTTTCTATGAAATGAAAGTATTCGTATAATTTCAATATATTTGTAGAGGGACAAATCAGATGATTTGCCCCAAAATGTCACTGCATTTAAAAAATTTTTCTATCAGGGAGTCTAAAAAAGAATCCAGTATCTTGTCAGTGACAATTTGTTTGAAAAAATGTTGATTACAGATGCGCATAAATCCGCCTTCTGCCTTCACAATTTTATTGCAAACAACAATCATCAAAAAACACGAATCTCAACATATCACATGATGGAGATGGTTCGCGTATATGAGAATTGCTGCAATGTTTTTCATTATTTTCTCCAGTTCCTAATGGAATAACCCATCATTGTCGATGTGGTTGAAGTCTGCATTGAGAAAATGTGATAATTAGGTAGGTACCTACTTCAGTGATACAGCAACGATCTATTATCATGAGATAACTTTCACAAATAAGGGTTAAATGAAATTGCATTCGAAATTTCTACATTTTCATGAAAAATTTTGTGTTGGAAAAATTTATATTGCTTCAATGAATGATAAGGTTTCTGCAACATAAGCTCAACACAACACAAAGCAGCAACCCCAAAAAGTAAAAATATTTTAACTTCATTGCGTCAAATATTTTTCAAATGCATTGTCACCAATCAGGTTGCATGACGCGCCGCGTAAAGCAAAAACGCTGCATTGGGAGCTCACCTAACCCATCCTTGATCAATTTCATATAATAAATAAAGACAAAAAACAATCAGAGCGAAAAAAGTTCGAGGCGGATATTATTTAAAATCGGACATTTTTCACATCACTGGCGGACATTTGGGATTGACACGTCCAATAACACAGAGTGGCTCACTTACTGTTCCTCTAGCATGGTAATGGGCCACTATCAAGTACGGCATGGTGAAGAGGGTCGAATACATGACGCCAGCAGTCCAACTGAAGAGAATTACTCCCACTTTGTGTTTAGTGATTGCCATCAGTAGCATTCCTGTCGAATACACCAGAAGGCCACCGACATACACCTTTTTGGCACTGCAAAAATGGAAAAGTAATTGACACAAAATATAAGAAGTCAAGCATTAAAATGAATTGTGAATTAAAAAACTGAAATAACACGCTTTTATATATGTAGATAGCCAAACTGAAAAAAGTAGAGAATGAAATGATTGAAGGGTGTTGATGAATACAAAACATGGAAAATACTGATTACAAAGGTGCTATTAATATTTTTTCCGGGACCGACACAAAAGTCTTCCATGTCAATACCAAAATGAGCTCTTGAATTGACTTTTTTATCACTGACACAAACATAGGTATGTTGCTAGGCAACACTTTCAGTTCCTAGGAGCTGGAGTTGAACTTCTAGGAACTGAAAAGGATGTACTAGGTCATCGGGACTATAGAACATTGTTACGGTTGGTTATTTTGGTTGAGACGCATACCTGATTTTGTTTCCGTTCGGCTTCGCTTGACGTTGCACAAATGCAAAATTTGCTTGTCAAACAAAGTGTCACTTCTGATACTAATAATTGAAATCACCTTCGAAGATTTCGATACAAGCATACATACTACGAGTGGTAAAAAAGGCGAAACATCACACCGTTATGATTTTCATAAACAAGAAGGAAGAATTTCTTGAATATGGAGTGAGTTGTCACGTTTTCAACCGATTTATTTCTGTTTCATTCAGTCGGCTATATTGTAAACTTTTTCCTACTCAGAGTAAAATTGTCCGTACAAATTAAACAAAACTATAATAGTCACAATAACCACCTTCGAAGAATTTTTAGGGAGACAAGGTAGGAATATGTGCACCTAATGTTTTTCCAGTATTTTATATTTTTATAACTACCCATTTGTTAGATGGAAAATTCAGGAAATGCTCGAGCTGTTGAAGATACAAACGTGACAAAGAAATAAACAATCGATCGAAATCAGTAGTCATTAATTCAGAGGTTGTAAAATTCAGTAGGTATCTAGTTCTCCCAACTTTTGTATCACACCAGAAAAAAATATGAATGAATTCGATTGATTTTCATAGTCTAGAATTTCTATGCTATTCATATACAGGGTGCCCGTTTTTCGAACTCCACATGGGGATCTCAGTTATTATAAGAGATACGAGGTCGGTGAAATTAGGGCAAAGTTGCGCATTTTCATTCTGAACACTTATTCGCAAGAAAATCCGATGTGTCACTTTTTTTGAATGATTTGAAGAAGACGAATATTTGTAATGTTCGTTTTTATTTTTTCAAGCTGAAACCAAAAGACCTAGACGTTTTTAACTAGGGCATTCTTGAGGTATTTTTTTACAAGAAATCTGAATCTGTCATCGTATTTTCCATGACGTGCTTGATGCCAAAGGTACAACACTCAACTTTGTTTTTTCTAATGGGCGCCATATTGGATTTTCGCATTTTTGAAAAGTCTTTCGTTTTCTGATAACAACGATGTATCACACCATATTATCGAATCTTTCCTGTTGATCAACGGTTTTGCTTAGCAAACTGAATTTTGAAAATTCAATTGATCCACATAACGCAATAAGGGTTGCCGAGTGTCTGTCAGATATGTTCCCTGACAAGGTAATTTCCACCAACGGAGACATACGTTGGCCAGCGTTGGCTATGGAAGATTCGATTTTCAAAACTGTAGCGATCGATATCCATGAGCTGTGAAGAAACATAATCACCACTTCCAAGACTAAGATAAGAAGACGGGACATCTCGCGAGCAATTCAGAATCTGAGGAAACGCGTAGAATTATGTTTAGAAGTGGAAGGTGGAGTATTCAAGCATTATTCGAGCATCTCTTATAACTTTGCTTTGTTTTGCGAAGAATGAACATCTAGCTCATAACGTCATTCCTAATAATAATTCAAAACCATACTTTTTGAGTAGACGAGCTTGACGAAAATGTGAACGTTCCAGATCCAAATTCGAATAAACTGTCGAAATTCATCTTGTTAAACAAAACAGTCGGCGTTCTTTCCAAAGCACTCTTCGCAAAAATGATTTTTTTCCCAATTCTGATCAATAGGAAAGATTCGATCATATCGTGGGATACATCATTGTAATCAGAAAAAATAGGATTTTTTAAAGATGCAAAAATATTGGATATTTCATTCTAGTTAATAGTTATGATTGGAAAGCATATTCTATTCATACATTGAACAGATCATATTCCTTGCGTATGTTACCAATATCTTCTGGAAGATACACAGATATTCCTGTTATCTGTTCCATAGTGACTCTGGATATTCCTGGAATGCTTTGGAGGACATGGAATATCCATGGAAAATCCATGGAATATGCCAAGTTCTTGTGAATACTGGGAATACTTGATGATATGAAACATGTATCTTACCCAAATCTGAAGATGCAGTTTTCGATCATCATCGAGTAACAGGCACAGGAAAGGGAATACATGGACATCCCCCAGCATCCGAATCTGACTCCTGACTCGTATAGTTCCCGTTCGATACTTCCCTCTATGGCCTAAGATTTCATGAAAATTTGTTTCAGTATGGTGACATAGTTATTTGTAATACCACAAGTTATTGTTTTTCTGCGAGAAATATTCGGCGATTGTTAAGACAGCTTGATGCCTAATTATTTTGAGAATGTCGTTTATATCGAAACTTTTGGGCAGTAGGCGAGAAATTGAAGCAGCAAGCTGGAGTATATCAATCGAAGGATATTTTTAGGAAAAATAGTATCACGAGATGTAATCGTTAACTATTTCACGAAGTCAACAATTACAGACCAATAATGGAAATTTCCACTTCAGCAAAAGTATTTGAGAAAATTTTGAGATACAGAATCAAAAATTATTTGAATAAACAAAAATTCTTGTCTAATATACAATTTGGATTCAGAAAAAAAAATTAAAAGACTCATTTCGAATGAATTCGATTGGTAAGATACATTCTTTTGTAGATGATACTGTTATATTATACTTTGCAAAGGATAGGGGAAAATTGGAAATGTAAGTGATCATGGATTTTCCAATTCTCAAAAAGTGGTTTGATAATAATTTATTGACAATCAATTTTGAAAAAATCAAATTCTCAGCCAAATTTAGGTAGGTACTATAAAAATCAGCAGTAAAATCAACATTCATGAAACGAATTGTATAAAATACCTTGTCATAATGATTGATGATAATCTGGAGTGGGATAATCATGAAGATTATGTTAAAAAAATTAGTTTCTCATTCATAAATTCAAATGTCACTTTGAGCATTGTGGCTATTTCGTAGTTACGAATTATGCATTGAAATTCGGTATGTAGGACCGAAATCAATTTCTAAGCAATTTGTTCAAGTAACTTTTTTCGGTAACTCCAACACGAACCACAGTATCAAGAATTTGCACTTTTTGCGGGATCGCAGTAGGCTGGGTTTGAGACTGTCACTAGGTCTCAGTATTGCGAAAAGTGCTGCCCGAGAAGACCCACATCTCTACTAAAAATCGAATCTCTGCTTCAAAATGCCTGAAATACAAGAGTGTCTCCATCTTAACTGTGTCTATGATCTCGACTAGTACTACTCACTACATTTCTCGAAGATTTATCACAAACCAAATGTTTCCAAAAAATCACACCGCGTATTTTTAATAGTCAATTCTTACTTATTCTTACCGTTGGATTTCCGTTGAATACCGCCTCTCCCACGAAATCCGTGAAATACAAGGAATAACATACGTGAGCCATCCAGCAGAATAGGTTCGTCAAACACAACATCCTTATGGAGTGAGGCATGTAGATGATGCTTTGTAGGTAGAGAAGCAAGGAAGCGTTTGGATCGGCAGTGATGTTTTCCCTCGATTTGGTATCGTATGTGGCAGAATTCAAAGCAGCGCCATCCTGAAGAACAGAAGGAACATTACGATGAACACAAATATTCTCTACTAGCATTTATACATTATTGCGGTTATCTAATATCGATTATTAGTCCGATTATTCCATTCACACATAGCTGCACCTATGAAATTTCATGATTGAAGTCACATGATATGCGATATCAGCGGTAATTCAGCTGAACAAACTCAATAATGAGCGACTATTGGCAAGGTGATCGACCGTTGGGGGCGCTGTTTCAAAACAAGATGGCGGCAAAGAGTGTGTAGTTTGTTTACAAAATTTCTTGAGATTTGCATACATTTTCTTCTTGATATTTCATCGTGTTATTTGTGTTAATTGTTGAACTTTTTACTGAAATCATAATTATATATTTGTTGGATCTTACTGTTTCATCGTTATGTGAGGAAAATTACTGTTACCTACTGACTGAATCGTGGACCACATTTCTTCAAACCAGTGCATATTTCTGTGGGACAGCTTTATGGGATATCAAAAATTACATGCATATCCACTATCATCAGAAGCTGATATATTCACCAGGAGTGAAGTTTTTCAACAGTGAACAGCCTTCTGTGAACATATTGAAAACCATCCCTAAACAATGTGTGGACTATTTTGTGCTAAATATTATAGCCATCAGAATCATGTGCAATTGATCCATACAATAGAAATCAGCAGCAAGCAGCTCTAATGAGTCTAAACCAAGAAATAATTCAACACCAAAGGCATCCTGACATTACTGTGGATTTAATAGTAGATACAACTGATACAACTATCAATGGCCTATCTTCAACAATATTACTTCCAGGCTTTGAGGATTGTTTACAGTGCAACTCCCATACCTCATATATTATGGTGCTCCACTCCACTGCAATAACAGCAAATTGTCATGATCCTATGTGCCATGTGTGTGAATTGTATCCATATAACACACTTTTCATAATGTGAATATTCCTAATATACTTAGAGTTGAGGTAGGTGGCATCCTAGACTGAGTTTTCTTCTTGGAATTCATTTAATATCTTGTAAAGCTAGTTTTTTTTACCATATACATAAAACATTGATCAAATGACCTAGGATTTCAGTTAATGTATTTACACAGTACCTATATTATCATAAATTTTGTGATTTGATATCATTTGGTAATCCAAAATTAATCTAATTGAAAATAACTATCTTATCAATCTGTATAGTTCATTATGTTTTGTATATTTTGGAACTGAATTAATAATAATTTTCGAAAATTAGAGTACATTGACATAACATGTGTTTTTCTGTACTTCCCAGTAAACCAGAGTTTATCTCTGGGAAGTCGCGAATAATTAACAACAGGAATACAACTTCCAATGCGATGTTCAAAAAACTGTACCCAGTAATTCCTGGCGACTTTCGAATGTCCGCGACACTGAAGATCCCACGTAAATCCATGAAACGTTGCAACAAACCATTTTTTCGAAGTTCAACGGAATTTTAAAAAATATCCACTTTGTGAGTTCCTGTATCTTACTGAATCTAACATTATTTTGCATTACACTTCCATGTTCAACGGAATTTCTTCGTATGACATTTTTGCGAGTTCACTCAAGGAATGCTGTGGGAAGTTACAGTGATAACATAATAATATATCATTTCAAATTTATGTCTGCATTATAAAATTCCATAGAAATTCCAAATTGATATACTTTTCACTCTTGTGGTTCTTTTTGAGTACCAGATTTGATCATTGATGCACTTTTAATTGTTGTTAAACATATATATTTTTCATAAAAACAACACTCTCACAAAAACAAAATCAAAAATATCAACACACATGTGATTTCAATAATTCATATCACTGATAGCATAGCATACATATGTTCCAAAAACAGCTTGCTTTCATTAAAGAGAGATTTTATTACACTGGACACTTGTATGAAAGTTCATCTGAGTAAAGGTTTCATATAAATATCCTCATTTCACCAAGTAGGTAAGTATAGATCCAGACTAATCACTTCTCTACAGATACATCATGTTCAGAACAGCATCTGGAACAAAAATGTGTTCCATGTATCAGTTTATCTATGACAATTATATAAAGTATGCCTACTTGAGTTGGCTACATATATAAAGAGAAACTCTTTCATTATAATATGGAGTTATATTTCATAAAACATGCTGGATGGGCTGACACCAAAAATGTGACCATGAGATATGTTTTTTTTTCAGTTTTATACGAGGTATGTCAAAAACACATCTGTCCTAATCAAGAGGAAATAAGAACCTTTTTTTTCTGCATGTCAAGAAGACTGAAAAAAAAATTTGAATTCTTGGTTCTAGGCCTTGCAGAACTTTTTATGAAGAAATACTTTTCACCTTAAAATTGATAAGATCAAAAAGTTTTCCATGTAAATTGATCAGAAATTAAAAAAAAAATAGTAAAACCTGCTTTTCATCATAGGTAGATGTGATTAGATATTTGAACCTAGTCTCCAATTGCAGTAAACTTTTCTCAACTTTTCTCCATAATACTTTTCGATATTGTCAAAAATGAAGGTACTTTATTCTTGAACAAAATTGATAGTTTTAGACATACCTAGTATACAACTGGAAAAATCAGATATCTGATATTTGCATTGTCAGTTTTGGGCCATGCAGAACTTTTCATGAGGAATAATAACTTTTTTTTGGAAAATTGATAATAAAAAAGTGCCCCATATGTAGCCAACTTAAGTAGACACTCTGTATATATTATAGTTTAGAAATGCCCCTCAGTGATGACTTTATTGAATTTACCTTCAAAATAATTGTTGGCCAATCTCTGAATTATTCCATAAATAGGTAGGTAGGTATGTTCTCATATATCATGCATTGGAGTATCACCATATTGTTTCACTGAAAAAATAATATGTACTTATCTACTTATGTAGATGTTATAGGTAGTAGGTATGTGTATAATAGCTTCGTATAAAAATGAACCTACCTATTGACCTGATTAGATTTATTGTGCCTCATCTTCTCTTTCACTATCTCTAGGTCTTCTTGTTTATAGCAGCCCCTCAAGCTTCAATTCTATTAGGAATTGGAGGATTTTGAGAGGATCTGTTCGTGTATGGTATCTCTTCCAGGGTCTGCTGGTATATAGTCCCAGTATGTTTAATTTTGTGTGATGTTCGTACCTACAGCATAATAATAGGTAGCTAGGTACCATATCCCCATTATAGTGTACATATATAACTCACCACCAGAAATCATTCATTATTTGAGTATACCTATATTAGATTTATTCACGCTATTCCTGATTATGTTTTTACATTTTGTGTTGGCTTATATGCATAAACAAACATTGAGAGACCCACAAAAGCCGAAACTGCGCGTGGGGTTTTCTTTGTCGTAAATGCCATATCTTCAAATGTATTTCATATTTCGTGACAAAGAAATTGTATACAACAGATTATTATAAACTTCATGTGGTGGAAAAGTTGAGGAATATCTTTAACAATGTTAGATTAATAATAATAGTGATAATAATAATGATTATATACCTGATAATAATGATATAATATTGAAAATCATAATACTAATACTAACTAATAATGAAGATAATAAAAATGATCATAATGCCGGTTATATATAATCTACAGTAGAGTTTTGTCAATTTCAGATTCACTCAAACTCAAGTTAATTTATTTATATATTTTTTTCACCTATAAACATGAACATACCCAGGTGAGAAATGAATAGAGAGTTGTGAATGGCTAATAATTAACGAATGGGATTAACGAATGCATCAAATGGAATAGTTTGTTCTCCTATGATTATGAGAGTAATTCGCTTATAGTGGATAAATTGGTCTGAAGTATAAATATTTTGATTTTTTTCCTTAATAAATTCTTGGAGTTTATTGTTAGAACATAATTTTTTTGTTCCTCAGGGAGGAAATTGAATGCTTTCAAAGATAAATATTTGCAACACCTCTGTCCGATTTTTTTTGTTAAAAATGGCAACTTCACAAAGTTTCTCAATCTCGTTCTCGTGGGGTATACATGATCAATATGGTTTAGTAAATGTTTGTGAGCGTGAAGGAAAGTGATGAGATTTGAAAAAAGTATTTGTCTGATAGAATTTCAGATTCAGAGAAAAGAGCTTGTGTAGGGTAAGTAGGTTCTTTTCCAAGAATAATTTTAAGAAATCGTTTCTGCAGATTTTCCAATTTTTTGAGGTGTACAGTTGCTGCTCCACCCCATGCTAAAATTCCATATTGGAGTCTGGATTCAACAAGAGCTGCGTATATTATTTTACTGTGGTAAGTATCTATGATTTTGCGAAAATATTTGAATTTGTATAATAAACTTCTGAGTGTTTTGGTTACGTTATCAATATGTGTATTCCATTTGAGATGTGAGTCAAGTGTTATACCCAAATATTTGATTTCACTAGCTATTTTGATTGAAATATCAAAATTTTCAATGTTCAGTGATGTGTAGGTTGGTAAATTATTTTTGTATGACGTGAATGGGATGAAGAAAGTTTTATCAATGTTGATTGTTAACAATTTATGGTTAAACCATGTAACTATTTGAGCTAGGTCACTTTCAGCTTTTTTTTTCAAGTCGTCCCAGTTTTCATCTTGATAAAAAATCGCAGTGTCATCTGCATAACTGATAATATCTCCAGAACAATTCAAGTTGAGTAGGTTGTCAATGTAAGCAGTGAATAATATAGGCCCTAGCACAGTTCCTTGTGGGACTCCATATTCAACTACTTTTTCTGTGCTCAATTTTGTTTTTATCTGTACACATTGTTTCCTATTTTGTAGGTAACTTTTCATTAGCTCTAATGGTGTGCCACGAATTCCCATACCTTCCAAAACCTCTAATAACTGAGTGTGACTCACAGTATCAAAGGCCTTGGATAAGTCGAGGAAGACACACATGGAAGGTTTGCAATTTTCTATCGAATCATAGATCTTGGAGGTGAGGTGTATTATCGCGTCCTGAGTCGATTTTCCCTTTCTGAAACCAAAC